GTGGGACGGGACAGGATTTAGATTTCTACTCTGGCCCGGGATCGGGATGGGACACAATTTTTTTCTGTGGGAGTGGGACAGGACAGGAGTGAAAATCCACTCCCACTCCACTCCTTGATATGTGCTTGAGAATGGCTTAGTCTCCATTCAAACCCAGGTTTAAAGCCTTGCAGGGCAGCTTAAAGCCCACTGCTCTCAGTAAGACAGAAAAAAGAAAAAAAACAAAAACAAAAAATGGTTAGTTCAGGTGTTTTATAAAAATGGATGCATCAGGACATTGTCTATATACCAAACTGAATGTTTGTTGTTCTCTAATTCAAGAAACACTTTAAAACCTCTTTTTTTTTTCAGTGTTAAATTCTGTTTAAAGTAACGGATTATCATTAAAAATGTCTCCGGACCTTTACTGGTTGTTGATTTTCTTTATTCGAACCCAACTGATTTTTAATTGGCTACCCCTAGTGGATGAAAAAGTAGGGGACTCGAAATTTCCCACAATGCACTTTGAAAAGTAGTGATCATCCATCTTCACTAGATGAGTAGATATATCCTGGAATGGTTTGCAAGGAGATCTGGACAGGGGAACGATTGACTGAGACCATGTGTGCCTAAGAACGCCGTAAGGCGTATTCCTTCGGCTGCCAGGGCGCCCGCCATGATGCGATTCCCATATGGCGCTGCTTTCCCCGCTCTATACAGTAATGGAGGATTTAGGGGTTAGAGCAGACGTTCGGACACAACCATAATGATTAAGGCGGATGTTTTTCTACATCTACATTTGTCATGCTGTAGCTTCAAATATGTGCTCTACACTGCCCCCTAGAGTTGACCTGAATATTACTTACTATAGAGAAAAGTGAGTTTAAAATGCAGTGAATGTCATGTCATCTCATTTCTACGCAGAGCGTTGTGCATCAAGCATAAGCCCAGCTTAGATCAGGTCACAACCAGGGAGCAGGAAGTAGATATGAGAACATGTATGTGGCAATAAAAAGTAAAACCTGATCTGTGTGTTTTACAGGATCCTGCTTTCGTTGAGAAGAAGGAACGCTGCGACTACCTGAAAGCTAAATTAAGGCACATTAAAAACAGAATTCTGCTTTATGACCAGGAGGCTGCAGCCAATCATCAGACCTGATAAGAAATGCAAAATATGGTTATTTACTTTATTCTTTTGGTTTTCTGATGCAGTATTTCACTCCAGAGGACATTATAAGTTCTCCTGTAGGTTAGTTTATTATTTTATGTGGCAGGGAAAATGTATAAAATACACTATTCTGTCAAAGAAAAACTGCTTTGAACCAGATTTAGCTATTGCTAATTTGCATCTGAAGTCCTTGGGCAGGTTTATAATAATAAAATATACATTGCATCATAATTTCATAAATATTTTATATTACATTTGTGCTTAAAAAGAGATCATAGGTTATAAAAATGTAAAACTCTCACATTCAATGTACATAAATATTATCCGAAAGATTTTTTTTTTGGATTATTGTCAACACAGTTGAATTTTAAATGTTTTTCTTTCAGTTTTTTGAAAAATTATTATCAAGCTAGCAAACAACTTCAAATAGCGTTTATGCAGTCAGGTATAATAAGGTCTGAAGAACAACAAGAGTAAAAAGATTATTTCTTTTTTATGTTTGTGTTTTCTATTTTATATTTCCTTTATTTATTTTGAAATATGCCATTAAAACATTAATTTCGCAAAGCTTTAAATATTTTTTCTGAATAAAAATAAATTTTTTAAACCTGTAGATAGAAAAAAAAATGGACCAACATGAAGTGAAGCTGTGAAAATCTGTTGTTGTTTAAAAGTAGAGCTGTATTGACTTTTACTGCAACATTCATGGATTAAAGACTCAGCTGGGGACTTCCATGGAAGTTTGCATTGATCTTCAGGACTTAATGGTGTTTTCTTTGCCCTCAGTCATTCTAAGCAGGTAGGATGTGAGTCTTTATGGGTTCTCTTGTTCCGTCTGCATCACTTTCATGACTCTGCATTGCTCGGTCATCTATAGATCATAGATAAACTTATTAGAGTGAGCTGTTCTATTCAGTCTCATGTGGATGGATTTTGTCACCAGTTAACCCACAGCTTAACCCTCTAAGGCATCCTTTTTTTATTTTGGGGGGGAAAAAAATATCTCACCCTAGTTTTTGGGAGCTTGGGCTTCCCTCATAACATATCAGTCATATCAGCCAGATTTAGTTCTGTTGCTTCACGTCAACAACATGCTACTACAGGGTTCCTACAGCATAAGGCAAGTTAAATTCAAGACTTTTTAATGCCACTTGAAATAAAAATTTAAGCCCAAATTCACAAGAAACACAATAAAAACCTGCTAGCGACAACTTAACCCAAAGGTTTATTTTAACATAAACCACTGCACTAATGTTTCAAATGTTGAAAAGCTTCCCATACAGGAAGAAAGCTAAAAACACACAAATGACAGATATATTTGAACAATTATTTAACTGAATTCACAAACTTTGTTTTAGCAGGGAACAAAACAAATCAGTTTTAAAGCCACAACATAACCAGTGCAGTTATTGTTCTTTGTATCGTTTTCTTAGTATGTTTGATTTTTTTTTAAATAAAAAAAG